TTGATAGGATCATGTGGTTCTTTTTCTTTGCTTTGTTAATGTGATGAATTACATTGATTATTTTCCTTATGTTGAACCATCCTTGCATACCGGTTATAAATCCCACTTGGTCATGGTGAATTATTTCTTTGATGTATCATTGAATTCTATTGACCAGTATTTTATTAAGGATTTTTGCATCTATGTTTGTAAGAGATACTGGCCTAAAGTTTTCTATTTTGGTGGTGTCCTTCCCTGGGTCTGGTATCAAGGATATGTTTGCTTCATAGAATGAATCTGGGAGAATTCCATTTTTCTCTATTTCCTGAAATAGTTATGTAGAATTGGTGACAGTTCTCTGAATGTTTGATAAAATTCACTTGTAAAATCATCTGGTCCAGTGGTTTTTCAGTCTGAAATTGTTGTATTGCCTTTTCAATTTCTTCTTTTGTAATGGGTCTGTTCAGATGTTCAATTTCAGTTTCTATTAGTTTAGGTAGGTTGTGCATTTCTAAGTATTTGTCCATTGCCTCTAGGTTTTCATATCTGCTTGAGTATAATTTTCATAACTGTTAGCTTTTTTATTTTAGTTGGTTCTGTTGTGATGTTGCCTGATTCATCTCTTATTGGCATTATTTGTGCCTTCTCTTTCTTTTCTTTTGTGAGTTTTGCTAATGGTTTGTTGATTTTATTAACATTTTCAAAGAACCAACTCCTTGTTTTGTTGACAGTTTCAACTCTTTTTCGATTTTCTATTTCATTTATTTCTGCTCTAATTTATATAATTTCCATTTTTTTAGAGGGTGTCGGGATTTCTTGCTGTTCTTTTTCAATGTGCTGAAGATGCTGAGTTAGAGAGTCAATGGTCAATTTTTCTTGCCTTTTGATGTGTTTGCTTAGTGCTATAAATTGACCTCTGATTACTGCCTTGACTGTTTCCCAGAGGTTTTGGTAAGTGGTGCTTTCATTGTCATTTGTTTCAAGACACCTTTTAATTTCATTTTTTAATTTCTTCTAGTACCCAGTCATGTTCAACCAAGTTGTTCAGCTTCCAAATATATGCGGGTTTTTTTTCTCCTTTATCTTCTTATTATTAATTTCTAATTTTGTAGCATTATGGTCTGAAACGATGCTTTGTATTATTTCTATGTTTTTTAATTTATTGATATTTGCCTTGTGACCTAGAATGTGATCTATTCTGGAGAACGTTCTCCACACTGGAAAAGAAGGTATACTGGGTGTGTGTGTGTGTGTGTGTGTGTATGTGTGTGCATTAGCCTATAAATATCTATGAGGTCAAGTTGGTTTATCGTATGGTTTAATTCTTCAGTATCTTTGTTGAGTTTCTTTCTGGTAGTTCTATCTTTTCTTGAGAGGGGTATATTGAAGTCTCCAAGTATTATAACAGTGTTGTCTATTTCCTTTTTCAGTTTTGCTAATGTTTGTTTTATGTATTTTTACAGGTCTTTCATTTGATGCTTAGATATTTATT